CCTCCTGTGCGTCCCCTGACCCCCCCGCCTTGGGCCGCGCACGTGCCTCGGGCCATGATTCGCGCCCCGCCCCCCCTTCTCTTGGCATCGCTCGGACGTGTGCATTTTTTTCTCTCGGCGGGGACCATCCAGGACAATCCTGGACCATCGAGCAGAAAAACACGCACGAAACCGAAAAATGCACGGGGAATGGACGTCCGAGCGACGGCAAGCTATTCACCGCCCACCAAGCCACCCCAACCCAACCCGAAGGCCGCAGTTTGTCCTCCACTTCCAGTTTGGGGGGGGCCGGCGGGGAACATCGAACAGACACACATGGAGCCCGCACCCCCCCCCAACCCGAAATTCGGGTCTTCGGGTTGGATTGGGGTGGTCTGGTAGGTAGTCACCTATTGGACGCCTCCCTCGATGGCCGCCCCCGGTGCTCTACTTTTACACTGTGCAGATGATCCTGTTCTCGATGGCGATTTTGGGGGGCAGCAAGGCATGCACGTGACAGGTAAGTATGGCACACGGCGCCCGTTTCCGACCGGCCGAAGAAGTACATTTAAGTCGGACTTGTCCCATTACATGAGGAGTATTCAAACACTGTCAAAACATAGCCTGCGGACGACGTGTGACTATTTTCAATTATTGGTTGGGTTTTTTTGGTGTTGCTATTTTTCTTTTTTCGTCCGGAGGACATGCCCGACCTGAGGGTGCGCGGTCGAAGAGCATCGGTGACCGAAAGCGTGCCCGAGCCTGTGACGGATCATTTTTTCCCGTCGCGGCGCGGCAGAGGCAATGCGTTCGCGTTCTAGTAGTTGGAGCGAAGCATACCATGGAGGCCCACGCCAAGAAACACCCTGCTTGCCTCCAGGGTGCCTTGGGCTTCCTGGGTTTCTATGGTTTCGCTATGGAAAGCGTGACGTTCCCACACCAAAAATCAATGGACGTCCTGGGGTCTCAGAGTTCGGTTTCTTGTGGAAGGCTTCTTGTGTTCAGGCTCCTACTGTATTGATTGTCCGGCAGTGCGAGAGAGCGAGAGAGAGAGAGAGAGACAGGACAGGGCGGCAGCGGAGCAAGGGCGAAAGGAAGGAGGGCATTGACTGCACGACGATCTGCGGCAGGAGTGGCCGGTGCGGCCGGCCGTTGCTGAGGCGTCCTGGAAGCGGAGTGATGGAACACATCGTGTGACCGAAGTTGTGACCGATGACCGAGGTTGGAAACCTCGTCGGCTTCGAGCCAAGAATTTCGGTCACACACTGGCGCCTTCGGACGCACTCGGGCGCCGTTGTCAGTCACGCTCGGGCAGAGTTTCCTCACGGTCGAGGCTGCCTGAGATAGAGAATCAGGAGGGGAACAAACACACACAGACACAATTCCATCGTCGACTCCCAGGAAAATATGGGACAATATGCGGAGTGGGGGGGGAAGACAAAAACCCAGAACATATGGGAAACTATGGGGAGTCCTTTCATTTGTGTGTATTTGTCTGTGTCTCCTTGGGCCCCTGCAGAGAAGCAGGTAGATCAAGCAGTGGCGAAGCGTCCTGGCTCGCCTATAGCCCCACCAAACAATGTTCTAAGAACTTTTTGTGGTTTCCAGGAAATGTTCTTAGAACATTTCTGGCCGGGACTGTCTTCTTTCAACGCATCGGAAGTTTGTTCTAAGAACATTGTTCTTGGTCTTAGAACAATTTTGGGTTCTAAGAACACTTCGTGGTAGGACTATAGGAATGCCGGGACGGTCGGTCCTTGCTCAAGCAGAGGCGAGGCTGCCCGAGGGTCGCGACGCGTCGAGGCCGGCGGCGTCCTCTGCGCGGGCGTCGGAGGTCCGAACGCCAGCCGTGGTCCTCCTCCTCCTCCCTCCTCCCTCCTCCCTCCTCCTCCCTCCTCCTCCTCCTCCTCCTCCTTCTCCTCCTCCTCCTCCTCCTCCTCGTCCTCCTCCTCCTCCTCCTCCTCCTCCTCCTCCTCCCCCATCCTCCCTCCTCTTCCCCGTCCATATCCTTTCCCCCTTCCCCGCCCCCCAGGCTCGATGGACTGCGAGCAGTCTGCGCCGTCGGAGGGGCGCGGTCGCTCGTGGCGGAACGATCCGCGCGGCGTCAGATAGGGGAACAACAAATGACATAAACATAAAAACTCGGAGGTCCGCGCGGATTTCTCGGATCGGCGCTGGACCCCCCCTCCCTGGCGCGCGGAGCGCGCCAGGGGCGGGGCGCCGGAGGCGCCGCCGGGGGGGCCCAGCGCCGATCCGAGAAATCCGCGCGGACCTCCGAGTTTTTATGTTTATGTCATTTGTTGTTCCCCTATCAGAGGTCATGCGGAGTGCCGTCACGGCGCGGGCTTGCCGTACACATTGGGCACGAACGGAATGGGTACGGAAAGAATGGGCACGATGTCCAACAGCAGTTCCTGTTCATTCTGAACAGGACTCGCTGTCCACACCGCCGCGGCCTGTGTCCATTCGAGACAGAAGGCCGCCTGCCCAACAGCGGCCGCTGTTGGTTTGGGAAAGCATTTGTTGTTGGGCATTGTACCCAGTCTTTCCGTACCAATTTCGGGCGTCCAAACACATGGCTCGTTGAGAGGTGTTGCTTTGGGATGCCGAGGCCCCAGGTTACAATGCGTTTTGGGCGCCATCATGTTTCAAGAGACGAGTGTCGGTCTCCCCTGTTGCATTCCTTCTCGTGGGGCGGGCGAAAACCCAATCTTGCTTTCGACGCCCTCCTAGTTTCTGTTTAGATGAACGTCTTACGATCGATGGGTACATGCCGATGCCGGTGCGATGCCTGGGGGGATTGTTGTGTCGCTTCACGTACAGTGGAGACCCAGGCCAAGAAACACCCTGCTTGCCTTCAGGGTGCCCTGGGTTTCTTTGGTTTCGATGGTCTTGCTATGGTAAGCGCGACGCCCCCACACCAAAAAAAACAGTAGACGTCCTGGGGTCTCAGGGTTGGGCTTCTTGTGGAAGGTTTCTTGTGGTCGGGCCCCTATTGTAGGGGGTGGGGGGTCGGCGCGCATGGGGGGGCTGGAACGGGCCGCTGGGCGGAGTGGCATGGGGAGGGCACTCGTTCTCAGGCAGCCAGCGCTTCGATTGCTTAGATCTGTCGACCCTCTCCTCCTCCTCCTCCTCCTCCTCCTCCTCCTCCTCCTCCTCCTCCTCCATCTCCTCCATCTCCTCCTCCTCCTCCTCCTCTCCTCCTCCTCATCATCATCATCATCATCATCCCCCTACTCCTCCTCATCCTCTTCTCCTCCTCCTCCTCCTCCTCCTCATCCTCCTCCTCCTCCTCCTCCCCCTACTCCTCCTCCTTCTCCTCCTCCTCCTCCTCCTCCTCCAACCCACGCCGGCAAACGACAGCGACGACGGCGACGATGACGATAGACGGGCGGCACATGCCGTGGGCGTCGTGGGCGAGTCGGTCGGGCAGGCGACAGTGGTGGTCGTCGTCGTGGTCGTCGTCGTCGTGGTCGTCGTCGTCGTAGTCGTCCGTGTGTGGGGGATCCACCTGGTTTCAAACTTCCCCCTTCAAGCGACAATAGAACGCGCCCCGACAGTTTGCAGGACAATGCGGAGTCTATTCGGGCCGAGGTGCCATTGAGTCCACAAGTTGCAGTGTGTCTGGAGATTGCCTCGGTTGTGGGCAAGCCGAAGATGCGCGTTAGGCCTGTTGCTCGTTTGTTCCCTGATGTTCGGCCAGCTGGATGTGCTAGATTCAATTGTGATACGGTGTGGGCTCGTGCCGGGGCCCTTTATGCCGCAGGGGGAGGACTCGAGGCAGGATCTATCGCGTGCCTGGCTTGACCTTGTTGAGGCTGCAGAGGCGCAGTGGGTACATGTATTACATATTCCTAGGCAAGATACGGGCAACATTTGCGGTAGGTGAGTGTGTTGTGCCCATGATGGTGGAGGTGTTGCCGAAGTCGCCGCAGAAGTTCCATCGTGTATCGCCCGCCGTGTTGTGGCTTCGCACCTTGGGAGCGTCGCTCAGCTTCGTCTCGTGCTGGACAGCCTGTGACGCGCATTACCGCACTTGCAGCTGTACGCAGGCTTCTGAAGAAGGCGCCCGCGGCAGTCACGGCAGTTCCAGATGGAGATGTGGGTGGATGGTGGAGTCTCTGATCTCTGATACCGACCGAGGGGCTGGAGATCAAGGCTCTGAAACAATTCGCGAGCCGTGTGAAGCACCGAGCATCGCAGTTGGTTGAGGCGAACCGTGGCAAGGAGTTTCGGAAGTGGGTGACGGCCCAGGCGGGCTCAGGCGCTGGTGGCCTGTTTGCTACCACTCGGGGAAAAAAGTGCCCTGGGTCCCGTGCGCTCCCGGCCGTGCGCGTCCACAGCTTCCTGTCCGCAAGCAGCGTGATATGGACCTTCTGCAGGAGGAATGGTCCAGAGGGTGGGAGGCTGGGAAGTGACATGGGCGCGCGAACTAGCCCGCGGACCCAGGTGAAAGGCCTTCCAGGCCTAGCGTTGAGCTGATGCGTAGGGCCTTGGCGACGTTCAAGAAGACGTTTCGCGCCGGGTTCGCCTCCACTGGGCCTCGTGGAGCTCGATGAGGAAGGTACCGAATGCTTCATTGATTTTATCATGGCGATTGAGACATCGGCGTGCTGGCCCCAGTTCTGGACGAAGATTGCATTCCTGCAGAAGCGACTGGGGAGAGTTTGCCCGATAGCGCTGATACATGTGGTGGCCCGTGTGCAAGCGCGGCTCAGGAGGCCTTTGGCGCTGTCTTGGGAAAAGGCGAAGCAGCGTTCCTACTTTGAGGCGTGCGCTGGGAGATCGCGTGAAAAGGGCGGTTTGGCAGCAGACGGCTTGGCCCGATTGGGCCACATGTAAGTCTAGAGGTGTTTGTCGGGGGATCTGGTCTTCGGTGCAGGTGCTCTTGGACCGTTTGAAGGCTTTGGAAAAATATTGCAGCATAACTGGCTTCTGGGGTTCCGCTTTGGCAACTTCGGCCCCAACTGGATCTCTTTAGGGCTCAGAGGTGCCTCGCGCTCGGCTCGGTGGTGCCTGAGGGGATCGCGACGGAACATGCCACTCTCCCGTGGGGCGCTTGGGCGACAACGTTGCTCAAGTTAGCGCTCGTCTGCCCCCTGGACAAGGTGTATCGTCTGCACGGGACCGCCATGCCGATGGTTGCGGTCAATATGTTGCGGCAGCGTGTAGGAGGTAGAGATCTTGTGTATCTTGGACTGGTGCAGGCTACCCGGGACTTGCAGAGGGTTTTGGAGGAGTACGATTTGACGATACACTCTGGTAAGACGCGTGTGCTTTCGAACGGCCGGGATGCGAGGTCGGTCATTGCGGCGAGCTGTTCGGACGGACTGGCGCGCAGGCGGTCAGGCATGAGCGTCACTTCGGAGTTGACTGCATTGATGGTCGTCGCATTGACAGGAAGGCTCGGAGGGAGAAGATCCGGCAGGCTAGAGGCAGGGTGAAACGGATGGAAAGGTTCTGGGCAGGCCTCAAGGAGAGATCTGTGTCTGCTCGGATCGCGCGTGCAGGTATTGCGGTTAGTTATTGTTCTGGCATGCCTGCGACTGGTTGCAATTGCGGTGAATTGAAGTCTGCGCGTGCCATGGCCTTTGCGGCGATCGAGCCGAGGACTGCAGGCAAGAGTCGGGCCCTCACGCTCATGTGTCACGGCAAGGTTGATCCGCTGTATCGGGCCACGCTTTTGCCCTTCGTGATGTTCGTGAGGGCCGTGCGGGGGTCTCGGGTGCCACCTCGGATTCTTGAGGTCTCGATGTCGGGTTGTCTCGGGATCGAGAATTGGGCCCAGGTTCAAGGGCCCTGCGGGGCTGCGAGGCTATCCTTGGAACGTGTGGGCTGGACTATCTTGGAGCCGGTCCGCTGGGTCACGCACGAGGGTGACGCGACTGGTGCGAGGGATGTTTGTCCTTGGTATGTTGCGCAGATTTTGGAAATGGCCGTTCAGGCCTGGCAGTCGGTCTGCGTTTCCCTGGGTGACTCTCTGGCGCATCTGGCAGGCGGCGCTGCTCGGGGGCCGCGCGCCCCCTTGATCACTTCGGGCGTCGGAATAATTAGCGCTAGGAACTGCAGCAGTTACCGAACGCGCAGCAAGGGTATATTCGTTCTGTCATCGTCAATGGACAGTGGCCGACGGCGAGGACGTTCGAAGCGGGATGCGCCGCAGACAGTGCGCGTTTGTTGCGCGAGTCGATCGGCAGTTTGCTTCGTCGGCATGTTTGCCGCGAAGCAGTGGGGCGCCTGCCTGCACTTGCCGAGTTTCCAGTTTTGACTGATCGGGCTGACGAGCCTGCAGTCAGGACTCTGCTTGGGAGATGTCTACGGGCGCGTGCCAAGTTGCCTGAAGGGTGGAGGCCGCCTGCTGATCAGCAGATAGTGTGGCATCGCCAGTCGGGCCTTGGTATGATTCATGCCTACCTTGTTGGATCGGTTTTCGAGGGGGGCCGGGTGGAGGGGTCGGTTGCGGGGTGGGCGATCGTTGCGTTCGCGTCGGATCCGATTGGGGTCCAGAACGTTGTGAGTGGTATGCGTGCTTGGCCTGTTAGGGACATTGAGGGAGCGGAGTTAACTGCGTTGGTGCGTTGCTGAAGGGAACCGTCCCGCCTATTGAGGCCATCGCTGACAGTAATTCCGCGCTTCAAGGAGTGTATCTCAGGGGCCCTGCGCGTGCGACTGCGTTTGGCAGTGCGTGGGCTCATCTCTGGCGTTGCTTCTGGGCCCTTTTAGATGACCTCGGAGGTCTCGGCGAGAGTGGCTTGGTGGTGCGAAAGATAAAGCGCATCTGCCCGCCGAGGCCGTGGTTTGGGGGCGCGTTTCTTGGCGTGACGGATTTGGCAGTCATCAGGCCGACGTCTGGGCCGAGCGTGCTGCTGCCCGCTGTCGAGTCCCGGGTGAGGTTAGGATGCTCAGACTGAAGTCTCATGCGTTGCTAAAGCGTGTTGCGCACTGGGTCGGCACCTTCGGGGCCACGATGGAACGTCTCGATTGCGATGCGACGCGGCAGTCGGAGGGACCGACTCGGCCGCGCGAGTCTGGCCCGATCCGGCCCGCGCGAACAATTAGCGAGCATGATTAGTACGGCCCCGACGGCAGCCGCCGGTGCCGCCTGCGCCGTGTGATGGAGCCTGCCTGCGCAGAGCGAATGCGCAGGAGCTATTGTTTTGCGTGTTATCGAGGCCCCAAAAATTCTCGAGGCGCGTGGCGAGGTGCCGCATCAGTTGGTGGCCTTAGATACTGAGCCTCGTTTTTGGCATCCGAAATACCCCGTTGTGGCGTGTATGATGTGCGGGGCCTGTTCCTCGAAACCGTTGAAGTTTCTTTCTTCTCCATGCAGAAAGCCTGGGGAGCATGGGGTAAGGGCCTTCAAGAGACGCAGAGCTGGTTTCCTTCCAGAGGGAAGAAACAGGGTCTCGGCTGTCACTGCATAGTGTCAACCTGATGCCCAGATGTGGAGCGGGCAGACGAGCTCCCCGATGAATCAGGGAAGTGAGGAGGAGGAGGAGGAGGAAGAGGAGGAGGAGAAAGAGGAGGAGAGGGGAGGAGGAGGAGGAGGAGGGAGGAGAAAGAGGAGGAGGAAGAGGAGGAGGAGGAGGGGAGGGGAGGCGAGAGGAGGAGGCGAGGAGGAGGAGGAGGGGGAGGAGGGAGGCGGTGGAGGAGGAGGGGAGAGGGGGAGGGGGATGGGGGGTGGGGGAGGGAGGGAGGAGGAGGACGAGGAGGAGGAGGAGGAGGAGGAGGAGGAGGAGGAGGAGGAGGAGGGGAGGATGAGGAGGAGGAGGAGGAGGAGGAGAGGAGGAGGAGGGAGGAGGGAGGGGAGGAGGAGGAGGAAGGAGGAGGAGGGGGAGGAGGAGGAGGAGGAGGGGAGGAGGAGGAGGGTAAGGAGGAGGAGGAAGGGGAGGAGGAGGGGGGGGGGAAGGGGGGGGGAGGGGAGGGGGAGGGGGAGGAGGGAGGGATTGGGAGGGAGAGAGGATGGAGGAGGAGGAGGAGGAGGCGGAGAGGAGGCGGAGGAGGAGGAGGAGGAGGAGGAGGGGAGGCGGATGCGGAAAAGAAGAGGAGGAAGAGGAGATGGAGGAGGCGGAGGTGGGGGAGGAGGAACAGAGGAGGAGGGGTGCGGGGGCTCTCTTTGCGAGGGGGCTTTTGTGCGAGAGAGTCGGGGGGTCGTTCGTTGGGTGCTTGAGATGGTGGGACGTAGTTTCAGGCCTACCAGATGGTGTCCGAGTAGGTGGGGTCGAAAGATCGCACCGCATCGAAGATGCATCGACGATGATGCTCGATGCGGAGCCCGCTTTCCTCCACGCCGTCGTCGCCGATGCATCGCCGACGTCGCCGACGCATCGCTAGTGCATCGCCGATGCATCGCCGATGCATCGCCGGTGTATCGCCGACGCGGCGCGACCCTTCGACCCCATCTATTCGGAGGCCTCTAGGTTCTAGGTAGGGGGGGCACCCTCAGTTATCGACGTGTCGGGGTACGTTTCTCACCCAAGCGTCGATGAAATGCGCTTGGTCTTGAGTCGTTCTTTGACGGTCCCGAAAACCAAAACAGGCTTGCACAAACAGGCCGCGTCGATTCTCAGAGGCACCGGATGTCTAAGCTCGCTCCCTCCTCCTTCCCTCTCTTCTTTCCCGGAGGATGGGGAGGACCAGTGCAACCCAAGATTCATCAACGACGTTGTAATCAACCCTCCCTCCAAGTTTCCTTGTCATATGTCCCTACAAGGGTCCAGTTTCACTGAGAGTAGCGGAGCGCCCCTTTGTAGGACAACGGTCTGAAATCTTGGACCGTGCCAGAGCACCGTTCTTGGGATTTCAACACCGCGAATCAACGTGACGGTTGCGCCCTTACAGTCTTCCATCGTGCCAATTTCATTCCTGGGACGTCAGTCAAAATAAATTTTGAAACTGTTGTACGCTCTTAAGACGATTGTGCGTGCAGCTAAGGCGGTACTTACGTTTTGACACCGACCCTCCCTCCATCTGTAAAACTCATGTGGGACGAATGCGATCGTCGCTAAGGCGACAGCAACGTTTCAAAAACCACCCGCCCTCCCACAGTGAAACTCTTGCAACAGTTGAGAGCGAATGTGCCTGGCGCTACGGCGAGAACCACACTTTGCAAACCACACGCCTCCCATCCTTGAAACGGATGCAGCACGTGACCTTGAACAGGGTCGCAGGTGGAGAGGAAGTCCCAGGCGAAACGCCAGGCCCGCCCGCCCGACACGCCTCGGGGTGCGACCGGGAGGAGCCATCTATAGGGACAGAGGAATGGATCACCTGTTTGCCCCCCCATCCCCCTTCAGGCGAAGATGCCCTTCCCCGCGCTGCAGCCGACCGTTCTGCTCTTCGCCGCGCTGGTGTGCGTCGCGCGGGCGCTGCCCGGGCAGCAGGCCCTCTCCCCCTCTCCTCTCGGCCGCGCGAGGACCGCCGGAGTGCCCTGTGGAGCGCGGCCTTCGGCCGAGCCCGAGCGCGCAGGCTGCAGCTGTCGCGCAGTGCAGTGGAGGCCCATGCCAAGAAGCACCCCGCGTGCCTCCAGGGTGCCACGGCTGTCTGGGGGTTCGAGGGCGGCCGCCACGGCGAGCGCGACGTTCTCCCACACCCAGGGGGAGTCGACGGACGTCCTGGGGTCTCGGGGTTGGGTTTTCCTGTGGCAGGCTTCTCGTGGTCGAGCTCCTGCAGACACAACGGTCGGGAGGCTGCGCACCAGGAGCCACTCTGGCTCTGGGCCAGCTCTCGCGTGCCGCCCGTCCTCGGACTGGCCTCTCCTGTGCCGGGCCGCTCTCCTCTTCCTCCTCCCTCCGCTGCTGCGAACCGCCGACAACAAAAAAAACACGATGCCGAGGCGTCCACCTCTCGTGCGGCTGCTGCTCCTCCTGTTCGCCTTTGCTCCGAGGAGGATGCGAGGTGGGAAGGGGAGCAGGAGGAGGAGGAGGAGGACGAAGAGGAGGAGGAGGAGGAGGAGGAGGAGGAGGAGGAGGAGGAGGAGGACGGGGCGCTACGGGGCTTGACCCCAATGGCGCGCGAAACAGCGGGAAACAGCGGGAGGAGGAAGAAGGAGGAGGAGGAGGAGGAGGAGGAGGAGGAGGGGGAGGAGGAGGAGGAGGAGGAGGAGGAGGAGGAGGAGGAGGAGGAGGAGCAGGAGGGGGAGGAGGAGGAGGAAGTGGAGGAGGAGGATTATCCTCGTCCTGGCTTCCTCGCGGCCTGCGTGCAGCTCCCTGCGCCTGTGCGGGGCCTCGCCTCGTCCCCCGCTCGCTCGTTGCCCCCCCCTGTGGGCGGCCCCCCTGCGTCGCCTTAGGTCGGGCACGTCCCTCTGCAGGAGGAGCATTTAAAGATAGTATCCGTTCTCGCTTCTCCGTTTCTCGCTCGCCGTGTTTGGGTTTTTGCGTCGACAGGCATCCGTGCAAAACTCCGCTCCAGTACATCTGCAGGGTCGGTGCAGTGAAAGGATCGCCTCCAGGGGGGCCACAGCAGGCCCCTGGACCATCAACACGTGGTTCGGATCGGGCGGGTGGTAACTCGGGGGTGGACAGAACCCCCAACAGTGACACGTCGATTAGTGAATTGTCCGTTTTCGGTTCTCGAGAGGGCGCCGTGGCCGTTATTGTCCATGGTTGCGCCTGCCAGGTTTGGGCCCGAAGTCGTTTTCACTAAACCACGTTTTACTAAAGGGAGGATTGTCCATCCCCGAGTAAAGAATAGTTTGGGCGAGGGGGG